AGAGCAACCTAGTGGTTGGAAACCACCTGTTCAGAGCTATCATCTAAAACTTAGTCCATGCTATTCCCAAAGGTTTACTAAAATCCCTGAACTGACTTGCTGTGGCTACATAACAAAAGCAGCCCAATCCCTAGATAGACCTGGGCTCTATCTTACCTTCCTTCATATCCCAGCATATGCTTGTGGCATATATTTAAAAGTGATGGAATTTTTTAGCTCAAGAAGCAAGTGCCACAATTCTCTTTTCTTCAGCATGTTAATACATATACTGCAACTGGCCACGTTATCTAGCCATGTGTATAACCACAATGGTACTCAGGCGAGTCAGTGTCAGGAAACACTGAAACTTGGCTTGCAGGCATGGTTGAGCCAAGTGACCAGAAAACTTCTCGCTAAATTATACTAAAATGTTGACTTGGGCTTTTCATTGAATAATGGCACTGGACTTCTAAATCATCAATAAAATAGAAAATATTTTATTTTATTCTCTTGTGTTACTGTGACACTGTGGTCTACATGTAGTGAAAACAACAAAGAGGCAGCAACGTGAGGAGCTCACAGATGACTTCATAGAAACAGCTGTACACAGAATCTAAGCAGCCACAGGCCAGGAAGAACAGAAACAACAGAAAGAAAAGAGATCCCAATAATGGAAAGAGAAAACATCTTTTCTCTTTTTAACACCAAGAAAGGCTATAAACCAGCTGTGACAATAATGGAGCATTTCCCAGAAGGAATTCCCAAAGAGACCATTAGATCACATTTTCATTTGGGAAAATATGTGCTTTATGAATTTTCAATATACTCTTTGTTTTGTAGAATAACAATTAGCAAACTAAATAACTAAAGAAATATAGTTGACAAACAGCAGTATAACTTAAGCAGAAAGTATTTGTATTTTGAAGTTACCCAAATTTTAGCGGGGGGTCCCCTGGCCTTCAAGACCTAGAAAGAACTGCCTTCTCAATTCTAGAACCTGGGAAGCCCTAAGTCCCCTAAGGGTATCTCCTGATTTCTGAGATCAAAGATCTCATGGTCTGGACTCCGTATACATTTGGGGTAGTAGTCCTATTTAATTTCAGATGGTCAAGGATGGTCTCAGTGACACAGTGACATCTGAGCAGAGACCTGAAGGAAAGGAGGAAACAATGCAAATATCTGGGAAAAGAGGTAAAGGGAAATGCAAAGGCCAGGAAGTAGGTCTGTGTTTGCTGAGGACTGGCAAAAAGGCCTGTGTGGAGGAGAATGAATGAGGAAGAAGGTTTTTGTAGATGAAGCCAGAAAGATATATTTGAGGTGCATATTATATAGAACCATGGAAGAGGAGGAGTTTTCTAGATGTTTTTCTGGTAAGATGGGAAGCCACTGGATAGTTGTGATCATAAGAGTAACGTGATCTGACTTTTAATAGGATTAGTCTGGATACTGTACAAAAAAAAAATTATATCATGGAAGGCAGAAGCAGAAAGATAAATTAGGAGACAACTGTGAGAGTCTGGGCAGATATTTTCTCTCAGGGGAATTCTCTTACCGGCTGTTTGGAAAATAGAATAAAATATTCTTTATATTTTAACATTAAAAGTAGAAACTAGAAAAATTGGGGGATTACAAATTACAAATCATTAGAATCTTTTAATAAATTCCAATATAAGGAAGGCACCTTTTCAATAGGGGAAAATGCAGTATAGGGTAAGAAATCAGAACACAATGCAAATCCAGGACCGCAACAGAAAATATCCCAAATTACAACCTACACTCAAGATTCTTACCAGCTATGTTTGGTTAAGGCCTTCATCAATACCCAAATAGGAAGATTAATGAGAAATACCATGGTGGTTTTAATTGTACAGTATTTGCAGTCATAAATCTAGGCAATAGCCAGACATTTTAAAGAATCTACTATAAATGCTTACATTTAGATATTAAACAATATTTTCTATTACTTTTATCAAGTTCCAAGTTAAAAGGTCTCTTCTGACGTTGTTAAGGAGATGAGACCAACTACATAAACTTTACAAACACTAAAGTTTTCTGTCTTGAATAAAGTCCAAATTATCCAGAAAAAAATCCATGCAGCACATATCACAGGAAAGGCGAGCTGTACAAGGATCACTCCTTTTAAATATGTTACCTCTTAGATTTCATGCTATATTCATTTAAGTATTATTTGCCTACTTACCTTGGAAGTTTTACCTTGTATTATGATAAAAGGAGATTAAAATTCCAGTAACTATTAACTGTTCCCAAAAGTAATTCCCATTTTCCTGTGGCAACTTAATATATTTGAAACTGAGCCCATTTTTGATTAAACTATAGGAAGACTCTGCCAGGTCTCTGCTAAAATTTATCACGTATTTCTCTTTCATGTCATCTGAAATGTTTTTGAAGAAAATCAAAGGTACATCTAAAATAGAATTTTATTTTTAACTTCTTTTTGCCACTTGAAAAGAACACAGTTGTCAATGACGCTGATCTATGGGTGAAGGAAAAAAACCAAGGTGGTCAGGAAGGCAGCCCAAAGTTTTCACAAAGTCCTTGGTCAGCTTTTATGTACATCAAAACGAAACCTATGGCCCCTGATGACTGAAAGCCTTCATCCACTCACAGCCTCTCTCCTATCTCCTCTCCATGCTATGTGGTTGCAGAGGCTCTTCCTTTTCAAGTCAGAATATCAGATAAGAGGGTGCTGGTGGTTGATATTCATCCTTTGTAAGAGTTACATCTGTCAAAGTAACCCAGATAAAATGGGTTTCCTTCTATTTCTAATGGCAGTTTAAACTATTTTAAAAGGATGTATCCTTCTGTTTGCACATGATCTCAGTTTTTCTCCAGTGTGCCTGGGATATTCTATCACCTTGTATTTTGAACATTGTCTTTTGAGGAGGGAAAAACAAAACATATACTCTGACACTCAGAAGTATTGTGATAAACTAGGCAATTTCCAACCCTAAGTGTAAGGCCAGTGAAAAATCTTTAAGATACACTTAAAACATTCATTAACAAGAGAAAGATTATGCCTCGGATTAAAAAAATTATGGGGAAAACAACTTGTAAACATTAACAATTTGAAGCTGAGTGCCTAAGGCAATGTTCCTCACTTGCACAGAAGCCAGTGATTTGCCTCTGGAGTCTGTTCCACACCTCCCTAATAGGCCTGGAAGCTACAGACAATTAATTATTAGATTATGTAACTCCCACTGCTACAAGTTAGCGGAACATTCTATGGTTTTCCTTCAAGTGTGCTGCTTTTCAGCTAGGGGTGCAATTTCATCAGCTCACTCATCTTTGTCTTTGTGCTACTTAATCCTGGCTTCCCAGGGTTTTTCTTTAATTGGCTCAGCATTCTTCTGCCCTCAATCAGCCTGATTTTTATTCCTGCGTTCTCAGTGAAGATAACTGAATCTAAAAATTGTAGTACTAACGTCTTATAGCAATGTCAGATATATTTATCCATCAAAACTTCTATATATAGAAGGTCTATCTTTCTGATTAATGAAGGCATGTCATGGAAAGCTTCTGAAATCTACACAGTCCTGGGGAAATACTGGATCAACCTCCCACTACACTAGTGTTAATGTGTGGCAACTAGCAATCATGGCACTGTGGAAAGTTCATTGGTCAAGGAACTAAATGACAATCAGATGTGGTTATGATAGATTCTACTATATGCATTTGCAACCAACGCACTTACTTTGAGCCTCAGTTTACTTATCTATAAATAAGCAATAAAGCCACCTGTTTCAAAGGGTTTTGGTCAGAGATAAAATAATAAATATTAAAATGCTTTCCAAATTGTAAATGTTATAGAAATCGAGGGACCGCACTACTTTTTGTATTCTCCAGCTCTAATTTCCTTACCATCATGGAAGTAAACTATCTCCTGAGAACTTGTAGAAGTTTTTATTATTAAAAGCTAATTTAGAAGATCTTCATTAGCATATTCAATCAAATTCACTGTTTTAATTGGTTCACTGAAATTTCACTGCTAAAATAGCATATAAGGAACAACAATAAAATCCTGAATAAATGTTAATTTCATAACATCAAATTTATTAAGGACCAAACAAAAGATTTATGGCCACTGACATTACTCAACTCAGCTGTCTGATTTGATGATCACCTACCACAATGATGCAAGAATACTATGCCACCTCCAATGTTTAACCGTCACCTTTGATAAGGTGTTCACAAATGAACATATGCAGCCCACACCTTTCTTCTGGGCCTTAATTCAAATCCTTAACTGTTTGAAGTCATCTGAGTTTCTGACACTTACCAGTCCTAAAGTTTGGTTCATTCCAATTGTCTAAATTTGGGCTTGTCTATTTTTCATTAATGATGTCATAATTCCCTCAAATACCCAGCTCAGTAATTCATCCATTCTTCCTTCAAAATATGTTTTAATATTATTTCCTTTCATTCTGATCCTTAACTCCCTAGTGTGCCTTTATCACCTCAATCCTAGACTAACATGTGTTTTCCCCATGAGCCTCCATACCTCATAATCCCTCTATTTTATTCCACATATACCAGGATTAATTTTCTTAAGATTTCGCTTTGAGGTATCACCCATTTATTCCAAATAACCAATACCCCAGTACCATGCCAAGCTTTCAAATTCCACCCAAAGTGATTTTTCTTAATTGAAGTCACTCCATAGCAAGATGTTTCCAAGCTTTAATAAACTGCAGTTGGAAATTTATTAAATTACTATGTCAGCTACATGTGACTAGATATTCCACATCAGTAAGAAATACTTAATGCAGCCTAAAAATAACTTCTCATCATGCTTCCTACAAATCTTACATGTGCAAGAAGTAAAAGTTGACTCTTTCACAGCAATTCTCTGTAGACAGTTGCCCTGGCAGCTCCCTAACAACAGTGTAAGCTGGGACTGCCAGCCTGCCAAAGATGTGGGACCAGCCTACTCCAGTGGAAAAAGCAAAGAAAACACCCAGTGGAGGTCTTAAGTCAAGTGGGATACAAACAGACTTACTAACTCTCCTGGCTTGCTCAGAACTAAGAGGTTCCTGGGACATTGGAATTTCTATGTTAAAAGTAAGAAAGTCTCAAGCCAACTGGGATGAGTCAGTAGCCCTAGTTAAGACCATGATGCATGTTGCCAAGCTGCAGGAGAAGCACTAAGTACAATCAGGTCAGGGAAGTCAAGGCCATGGGGTAGGATGCCAGAGTCCATGGTACCAAAGGCCAAGGCCAAAATACGTGGATCCTATCTTGCCACAGCTTGCCAATTCAAATGCTTTGCTGCCCCCCATCTCCACAGCAGTACATCATGAGTCTTAATTTAGCCAAGTGTATGAACTACCTCTTGACACTACATGAGATACCAAGGTCTGTTCACTTCATCTGTTTAGTTCATTCCAGGACAAAATTGCAAGTGCATCCAGAGTGTACATAGAAAATTCTATTTTATAAGCTAGAAAGCCAGGTATGTATGAAGTGTAACTATTTTAATTTCCTTAAACTGAACTTAATTCCTACCTTAAACCCCCAATTCCAGCTAATAGCAGACAACTTAATTGAGTCACTTCAAGTAAATGCTATCTAATTAGTGATTACTCAGTTACTTCTGATTTAAACTCTGTCAACTTGGAATAAAATACCCATGTCTTGTCTTCTTTAAGATCCCACAAACCTCTCTAGGGTTTCTGGGTCAGAGGGGAATGTAGGGCTCTTCTCAAATTTCAGGAAGCAACAAAGTCCCCTGGAAGGCTGTTGATTACAGCCCACAGTGTATGTAGATCTGGGGTGGGGACCCAATAATTTGCATTTCTAATAAATTCCTAGGTGATGCTAATGCTGCAAAAGGAATCAGAGGTCATGCAATGAGAGCCACTGGGACAAGGATAGGTCTCTTCCAGGTGACACTGGCTCCTCATTGGTCTTTTTCCAGTCTGAACTGTCTCTCTCAAGTTTATCATCTCTGCTTTTGCAACAAAACAACTCCAATTGAGGGAATGTGTTCTCTTTCCAGGTCCATGAAGGGGTGTAGCTTTAAGGGCAAGAATCTCCCGGCACCACGCCCCGCTCCCATTTCTCTCCATCCGGGAGATTCAACAGTTTATGTTTGAATTTCGCAGGCACGAAAAGAAACTAAAAGTCAATCACTCCAGTGGAAGTTCTAAGGAACTCCTTTCATTGGCCCAGCGTGTTGGAGAAGGTGGGGGTTTCTCCCAGGATAAAAGTCCATGCTCCCTCACCTGTGCCGGATTTCCAGCTTTTTGGAATTGCCTCAGATACGGTGGGAGCTCTCTTCAGGATTTTCCCCTCTGGAATCCCCTTCTACATCCCTTTGTGGAAGCCTTTCTTTTCTCCTTTTCTTCTCTTTTCTCTACTAAATAAAATCACCTTTCTGCAACTCTTCTTGGGTCCGATATTCACTTTATGAGCATACCGTCCACCTGAAGTGGCCCCACCACTACTTCCTTAAGAGGCTGGAGGTCAAGAACCCACAACCATCACCAGTATCCGAAACAAAGTCTGGTTACACAGCGAAGGTGGAATGAGTATCCTACCTGTCTTAAGTAGAGGATGAGTCATATAGTATAATCCAAAGAAATGTGCAGTTGTAGAAGCACTTCAACTACTACACCCAAATTATGGTTTTGCTATATCCTCAGTGTCAGTATCTTTTCATTTTGCACACATAGCTCCCTTTGGTTGCATCCTGTAGCTTGTTAAATAGTATTGATCCAGTATACAGTGAAGAAAAATGACTAGAAGTAATCAGTCTTTGTCTCTTAATAGCCATGTGACCTTAGAAAAGTTTTTTACATCTACTTGCTATCAGTTTTCTTACCTACAAAATAAAGCTAATATCCTCCCTACCATGGCAATCTCACAAAATATTTCCAAGATTCAAAGGTAATGTATGAGATTATGCTTTGAAATTAATTAAATATTAAGCTTAAGTTATGATACAAATAACTTCTCATCATCCTAAGTAGTTAAAAGTTTATAAAACCTGGATACATACAATTTTTGTTCTTTTAAATACTTACTTCTAATACTGCCAGTCACTCACTGGTCAAACTCACAGGCAGTTAGGCAGTGGGGAACTGGAACCCACTGTGTACATCTCTTTCCAACCCCATGTTCAGTGACATTAAGTTGGTACCTTGAAATCAACAAATGCTACAAATAAAAACTTGTGTGTTGTTTATTTTCAGAGAGTTGGTTGTTAAAATATTTACCAGAATACCACTGTCTATAAGACACACTGGGCCTCTCAGAGGTATATTTCCAATATACCTGAGGTAAACTTTAATAAAGTGATAGTTTTTGATATAGCGATAAAAGCTACTTTTTTAATACTACACAAAAATATTTTCATTTAAGCAAAACATATTAAAATATAAACGAATATGGTGTTTTAGCATATGTACTCCTTTATCGGCAGCAGTAATTTTCACATCAAATGGGGTAACAATGACCTAGGGCACTTGTTTAAAATGAAAATTTCAGAACCATGCTACTAAAAAGAATGTGAACAAGAGTTCTGGGCAAAACCATTCAGGACATAGGCATAGGCAAGGACTTCACAACTAAAACACCAAAGCACTGGCAACAAAAGCCAAAATACACAAATGGGACCTAATTAAACTCCAGAGCTTCTGCACAGCAAATGAAGCAATCATTAGAGTGAATCGGCAACCAACAGAGTGGGAAAAAGTTTTTGAAATCTACCCATCTGACAAAGGGCTAATATCCAGAATCTACAAAGAACTAAAACAGATTTACAAGAAAAAACAAACAAGCCCATTCAAAAGTGGGCAAAGGATATGAACAGAACTTTACAAAAGAAGACATATATGAGGCCAACAAACATATGAAAAAAAGCTCATCACTGGTCATTAGAGAAATGCAAATCAAAACTACATTCAGATACCCTCTCACACCAGTTAGAATGGCGATCGTTAAAAAATCTGGAGACAACAAATGCTGGAGAGGAGGTGGAGAAATAGGAACACTTTTACACTGCTGATGGGAGTGTAACTTAGTTCAGCCATTGTGGAAGACAGTGTAGCGATTCCTGAAGGACCTAGAAATAGAAATTCCATTTGACCCAGCAATCCCATTACTGGATATATATATCCAAAGGATTATAAATTATTCTATTATAAGGACACATGCACACAAATGTTCATTGCAGCACTATTTACAATAGCAAAGACTTGGAACCAACCCAAATGCCCATCAATGTTAGACTGGACAGGGCAAATGTGGCACATACACACCATGGAATACTATGCAGCCATAAGAAACAATGAGTTGGTGTCCTTTGTAGGGACATGGATGAACCTGGAAACCGTAATTCTCAGCAAACTGACACAAGAACAGAAAAATCAAACACCACATGTTCTCACTCATAGGTGGTTGTTGAACAATGAGAACACATGGACACAGGGAGGGGAGCATCACACACTGGGGTCTATGGCAGGGAACTAGGGGAAGGACAGCGGGCGTTGGGGAGTTGAGGAGGGATAACATGGGGAGTAATGCCAGATATAGGTGATGGGGAGGAAGGCAGCAAACCACATTGTCATGTATGTACCTATACAACAATCTTGCATGTTCTTCACATGTACCTCAAAACCTAAAACGCAATTTAAAAAATTATAAAGAGTTCTGGGCAAAGGATCTAGAAAAGGCCTTTTGCACAAGCTCTGGGGAATCCCAAATAGAAGGTCCTAAGATGACATGTGAAGCTATGGATGAAACAAAAATCTCACATTCTGGCTTTCAAAGTCCTCTACCACATGGTCATTAACTTCCTTCTCTCCATTTCGAAACGTTCCTGTAGGTGTGCCTCCCCTGAATTCAGAAGCTATCATCACTGCCCTGCAACAGAATCCTTGACCTTCAAACTTACTTCTGTTGTTTCTCAAATGGCCCCGTTTCTGAAATGTAGGGATTTGGTTCCACTGTCTCTATGTCCCAGCTCTCTCTGTGAACCTACTACTTGACAAGCTGTCAGCAAATGTTAGGCAAAAATCAATAGGACATGTTGGTTAAAAGCCAGGCTCTGGAGTCAGACAGACCTGTTTTCTCACCAGCCTCTTCCACTCAAGTTGGTCAAATTCTATGCCCCAGCTTCCTAATCTGAGAAACAGTGGCATGTTAAATGAGTTGTACATATAATCCTCAGTGCCTAAACAGCTAAATAAATGTTAGTTGCTTTTTATTAATAAGATCATTAATAATAAATAAATGAATGAATGAAAAGAACAAATAAGGAAAACTGTCAGTTCAATTTCTGAGAAATAACATTAGTTTGGCCACGCTAGCCTACCTGCCTCTTCTCTAAACTTCCATAACACTTATTCTTCCTTCTACATACTAGCAATATATCAGTCACTGCTTTTTGCTGTTATTCACAATTTTAAATATAATTATGTTCCCCAATTACACCTAAGACTTCACCTAAGAAGCATCCAAGACGCATTCTTGGTCTTGGCCCTACTTTTCCCAGCATAGGCTTAGTTACCAGGACTCTGTTGTACCTGATACACTGCCTCCCTGATATAACAGGTGTCTGGAAGGGATAAAGCTCTCCCTTTGTACTTTCTCACAACTATGTAATCTGACACAGATCACCCAGCTAGGCAAACTGAAGAACCAACAAAGGTGAAAGCCAGATTAAGAAAGCGACCCTTACATATTTTATGTCAGTGTTTGTTCGGATTATGAAACTATGAATGTTACTGATGCAGATGACTATATAAATGAAGACCAAAGTTAGAAAAAAAATTTGGTTTACCTCTTTGCCAAGTTTCCTGCAGTATGTCTTGAAAGCTGTCCAATGTGGACCTTGTGTTGACAAAATAAAATAGATTTCAGAGCCTTTTATACTAGCAAACTTAGTAATTGTTTTAAGGGCACATACTGGCAACAAGTCAGGACAGGTATACAAATTGAAATCTTGCAAAAAGTAGCAAAGAAAGGGAATCAAGAAAGAAGGATGAAGGTCTGTGTATGCTCCATTCCCCCACAGGCTACAGAATACTGCTGAACCTTTTGCCAAAGCAATTTTACTTTAGTCACAAAAGTCCTGCTGTACAAAATTAACTTGTTTTATAAATTAGCTGTCAAATCCTTGGAGAAACCAACCATGAACAATTTGTTCTTGGTTATATTTCCATTATTGTCACTATTTAATCCATAGTTTAGTGATTAATGGTTTTCTAAGAAAACTTGTTTGAAGTATAAAGATTGAAATCTGTTAAACCAAGTAAGACCCGAAAAGATTCATTCCTCTTGGGGTCTCATCAGTCCTGAAACTGCCTTGGCATAATTAATGGTCTAAGAGATGAAACAGGACTCCTATTCTGTCATGTCTCTTCTATTTACGTCTTCAAAAATGAAAAATAATGAGTAAAGGTGTAAAACAAATTGCTTGATATGCCAAGAAGCAGAATAATCTCATTAAAATAATTAGAATTTCATCTCAAATTATTCAATACTCTGTTTCACTGCAGGAAAAGCCCAGTTTGGGTGATCCCCTTATGTATGTGGGCATTGTTTATGACCTGCCATTAGAAATGTTCACCAGAATGTACTTTCTGAAGCTTGATAAGAAACCTCTAGACATGCTTCTCTCAGAATTTAAAGGCTGTTTGGGGGCAACAATTTTTCAGAAGTATATACTTACAGACAAAATTGTTTACTCCTTTAGTTTAACTCAGTCTCCTAAATATCCAAGAGAAGAGTACAGAACACAAAACTATTTAGTATGAGCCCATGCTCATAAATTCGTGGAAATGATGTTTGCATATATAGCAGACTAGAAAGGGCAGCAGAAAATGGTAATAGTGGATTTATTCAGGAATTGGGTAAAGGGCATTAAAATTTTCCTTTATGCAGTAAACATGAATTAAGAACACTGACAGTAGCTCACCCTGGCTCTACAGCATTTGGGGTCAACAACTTGTGTCCCTGAACTGGTAGAATGCAAATCATTATTGTAATCCAATCTGATTTAATGTAGTATGCTATTTTTTGAGTAAGTACCAACTATGAGAAATGCATTTTGCAAATATCATGAGCAATAGAGATACAAGGTTTAATTAGAATCCATGCCTACAGAGACACTGAAATCTAGTGGGGGATAAAGACACAAATAGAAATAACTATGACAGAAAAGTAAATTTGAAGCGTTCTATGAAAAACCAGGGAGGAAATGACTAGCTCCAGCTAGGGGAACAGGTGAAGGTTTTACAGAAAAGAAAGCAACAGAGAAAAGTCTATAATTTTCCCAAGATGTGGAGGCTTGGGACAAACTTGGTTAAAAGGCACATGTGAGGGAGTGCTGGGTTCTACAGTAACAAGGAAAGAAACAGACTATACTAAAAGGCTATAATTAGACCCCATATTAATTATACTGCAACCCTGGGAGCTTCTGGTTTTGGTTTTGGATCCTCTAGCATCAAACTTGGCACAAGGTAGTCACTTGACATATATTGAGAGAAGGCAGCCAAGCCTCATGGAATCAAGGAGGGAGACAACCCCAAGTAGGGCAGTTATGTCAGTGTAAGTTCCAACTGGAAGATCACTAGAGCTTTAAATGTGAAAGTGCACTTATTTTCTATGTGCTTAAATATAATGTCTCATAATGAGTAAGCAACAAAAATCACAAATGCACTCATTATTTTACATTCAATGAAAAATAATTTGTTTTCATTTAATATTACAAAAACATTAAATGAGATTAATATTAACTGATTTTTCAGTTTGTATCTTTCCATGTCTACATGTATGATTTCACATTTTCATTAGTTTTAACAGTAGAATACAAATATGATTTACTTTTTACCAAAGGATAAGAAAAACTTAGAGAATATTACACTCAAATCCAGTAATACTTCAATTAACATTTACCAATAATAGTTAAATTAACTAATCCTTTAGGAAGGACATATCTAAACCAAAGCCAATGTAGTGAGAAACATTATCTCCTTTTGCATCAATTCTCTGTATTTCCTAGCTCCCAACTCCCACAAAGAGGCTCTGGTCCTTCACATCCCTTAATCTTATCAAAAAGTGGAGAAGACTACCGTTATAATTCCACTCTAGTTAGTACTCATTCCTATTTAAAATTAACTCAAAATATTTTCACTTTCTAGAGCTCCCTAATTGGCAATGTTTTTCTATTCCTAATAGGAAAGGCATTTTCTCACTTTAAGGGATTCTTGAATTCTTAGGTTGCCTACCAAGCCTACTTAGCTGACTTAGGTAGTCCTAAACACTAGCCCATATAGTGCCTCTTCTTGGGGCTGGTGTAATGACGAGCACAGCCCCTTGAGAGGAGATGCAGTTTGATCACCATAAAGTGAGGAGAAACTCAGATGCCACTGCCTATCACCCAGTGAGTCTATGCAATGAAAAACCTTGCACAACTGAACATAGCAACCCTGCTTAAAGGGCAATCCAATTTAATGCTTGTGGGATGATTGGGGAAGAATGCACAAATGCACACTGTAAGGCCAGACTGGTTCCTTACTCTTCTGGGACACTGGCTAAGGCTGCTGGAAACTTCAGGGAATAAACGAGCATATGTTACATTTTCTGAAGTGAGCCTGTATTACCACAGCAAAAAGTTGTCTGCCAGGAGGTCCCTCACTCTAAGCTTGCCCCCAGTGGATTTTGGGTTCCAGGTATAAACTGAGCACCAACCTTCACCTCCTTTAACCTTAGTTGCCTAAGCTTTGCTTAAGACAAAGATATTTTTCTCAGTATTTAAAATTTGTTGTATATTCTTGCTTATGTGAAACACATCCTTCTGCTTCCCAGATTATTTCTGCCTGTAGTTATGAAGTCTCTAACAAATAATTATGTTGTTGGAATGCATTAATCTCATTAATAGAGCTATTACTGCATCCAGTAAATAATGTTGATGATAGGCTTTTAAAATCAAGTTTTAAAACTACTTTTAGGAGTTCTGTTTACTTATGCACTGTCCCTACTTCCAAAAAAGGATTTGAGATGCCTTAAAACACAAAGACTAAAACCCATTAACTTTGCATATAAAATCAAAGTCAAATAACAACAAGGAAATGGTATCCCAAAACCCAGACTGAGCAAAATGACCTCATCTGAGCACAACATTTAATTCTGGTAGTTCTCTATTGCTCAATCGCAGGAACCTAATAGGTCATTTCGGGTGATAAATGCTATTCTGGTGCTGAGAACAAAGAGGAATTTATCATGTGAATTTTTCTTTGCAATTCATCAGATTACATACTGAATAAGGTCTTTGACAGCAGCTCTCATGAACCATGCAAAGGCGTCTTTAAGGGCTAGTTTCATGGACACGCGACCTGTGGACCAAGCTTAGAAGAGCACCACACTTGGTTGAATGCTCTGCTGTTGCTGACTTGAAATTATTAATAATTTTTAACCAGGATTCCCACATTTTCATTTTTCATTGGGCACTATAAATTATGTAGCTGGTTAAGATATCTTTCATCCAGCTTTTTCTTCGGTCAGCCCCTAAGTTTTTTGTTTTAGGATGTTTCTCCTTTGGCAGTAGAAAGTACATTATTTGTAGAATTTAACCTATGTTTTTCTGTGTATTAAAAATAATCCACCATGGTTATGTAGATCCTCATCCGTTGTTGCACCCATCATTCTTAAGTCTTCTAAACACTAAACTTAAGCAATAATACAATTATGTGGGGAGTAGAGGGAACGCCAGTATTTTTCTCTCTTTATATGTTTAACTTCAAGACACCATTCATCAGAAATCACATATTTATTAGGATGGCTTGTAGATATAGTTAAATACTTTGCTGTAAAATCAGTAAATGGGCTTCTGGTTTAAAATCAATGACCCAGTTAGATGAAGCTTGACTTCATCAAATTGAAGAATTTGATCTTTGAATCATGCTTTCCACGATTTTTTCCCTTGATCTAATTGTCTTAAAAAGTAAATTTTCAAAGGTGTTCAAAGACAAGTAAAATATCCTCAGAGGGCATTTTGTGCCTCACTCTACCTTCAGACCTGTTATAGTCACTCCTTCCTACCTGACAGGTGGACTCCTAGCCTGTTCTTTCCCAATTTTTGTGCATAGTTGAAAGACATCTTTGCCATCCATAATTCACCAAGTAAAAGAGAACTTGGCAGCTGCTGTCCATATGATTGATGAAAACTCTGTCTGCATGTAGTAGCATTAGAGGCACCTATCGGCATATCAGGCATGGCACTGAGGCTGCTGCTGGAATGTGTTAGAAGGTGTTGTGACTCCAGTATCCTGCACTCCCCTTTCAACAACTACAATTTTCTAAGCACTGTGCCTGGCACAGGAAACACAACACTTGGCAAGACATTCTAGCCAGCCTGCAACTTAGAATCTAATGAACAATTAATTAGATGAGTAGATGGATCATTATCACACCATGTATATGTGACACAGTGGCATTACAAAGGAAGCAATCAGGGAAGGTTTTCTCAAGAATGTGACAGTCAATCTCATTTTAAAATATTTAGCTATATTATCAATTTACAATGTAACTTATTAAATACAGATTTATGTATGAGGTTAGAAGTGAATTTACTACAAATTAAAGAGGTTTAAGCACAGGGCCCTTTCCTTGCATCGGCCCCTTCTGAGATCTTTTCACTAATTTTGTATTTGTAATTCCATGTTCTTTTTCTTAAAGAGGGCCCCACAGAACTGTGTAAGTCTCATAACCCACAAAACCTGGATCCTCATCTGCATGGGTTCCCATGCTGGATTTTGATCTTAGCACACATAGAGTCCTTTTCAGAATGACAGGTTCACACAACTGTATTCTGTTAAAAATGTTGGTTCCATTTTACTACCTCGTAAACTTAAAAAGATAACAGGACTAGTTTGGAAGGCTGCAAACTTTACCCTAGTCAGCCTAATTTTCTCAGGCTATACTTTCTTCCTGAGTTCAAAATTGTATTGCTAATTCCAGGCTTCTTCCTATTAAAAGCATAAAGACAAGAAGAAGGTGATCATATGCATTTTGGTGTTGATCTGAGAACCAAAGCGAGGTAAGGGGTAAAAACTTTTTTAAAAATGTGCTAAGAAGAAAGTCCTTCAACTGCAGCTCCTTTCAGAAACTAGAACTTCTCACTTCTTAGTCTCACCCGCCTGCAGGAGCTTTCTAGACAACTTCACTGGGGGGAAGGAAACATAATTTGCCTATTTTTCTCTAGAATCTTGCTCTCAAATGTCATGGATTTCCTTTATAACAGTGATACAGAACATCAAGATTGTTGAATGGGTACAACTGCATTTTCAGGGATATGGTATTTAAGATAACTTTTAATCAAAGGAGTATGTACCTACCACAAATATTGAGTTTTATGCATCATTTTCAGTAAGTTTTGCTGCTTTAATTAAATATAAGGTTATCTACTTCTGGGATCAGTTTTCTTCTTTAAAAAAATCAATTGGCAACAAGAGAAATAACAAAATTCAAATAGGAACAGTAATTCTTGGAATATTAAGCCACCACCTTTATTCTATGAAACTGTCTGTGACAAGAGGTCTATTAAACAGTGTTTACAATTATTTTGCCACTAAACATTAACATTTCCACCAGATAAAGCACAGTAATTAAAAATTGCAAGCTAAAGAAACTAAATTCACATGATGCCATTTCCAGCAAAATCTATTTTGATTGATTCTGGATAGAAATGCAAATAAATCTTTTGAGCATCTATAGACTAAAGAAGATTGCCATGAGAGTTAAACATAATTATTATAACACAAGCCAAAATGAATAAAAAGTGTATTAGCACAGTGGCTTAGAAAAAGAGACACTCAAAGAATACAATTCATCCGATAAGCACCAACAGGTCACACTGTTTCAAACCAAGAATGCCAACAAAAGTTCTCAAAATATTAGGAGAAAATCTTTAGACGCTATTATAACCTTACACAAAAGGTGCAAAAAAAATAATATGATATTTCTAATAGTGGAAAAATTACAGCAGGCAGCAGGCTACATTGTTACTTGATATTGAAGGGCCTTCAGCTAAGCAGCACAAGATTACCTTTGCCAAAGCCTTTCTCATGTAAATTGGGAAGGGTTTTATCAGATATGGTTCCAGGCTCTTTATCTGCACCTAAAAGTGTTGATAACAAATTATTAACTTTTGAAATAGTCCAGTCTTTAAACAGTTGTATATTGGTAGAAACTAAAAAAAAAAAAAAAAATTAGCTGTGCAATCACTTTGTGTGTGATCATACAATTTTAGCAAGGTCAATTTCAATGGAATTGCATCTTCCCAAAAATGAACTTAAACTTTCCCTTCTCCTCCCATCAACCAGAACATTTACCAGATATCAACAGTATCTTGTAGTAAACAGTGAATTTTTATATTCTTTCAAAAATTTTTTAGCTGAATAATTTTATTTAAATAAGTGGATTCATCAGAAAACTAAAGAAAATACTCAGAAGGATTATAAAGTCTCTATCACAATGGGAGAAGGCTAATAAAATTTACAGCTACCCTGGCTTTAACATAAACTCATTGATCAGTATTTCAAATAAAAGGCATTCGCGGAAAGGCTTTTGTTTATGCACTCATCTAACATTCTTAACAACTTTACTTGAATGTCTTGCTCTTCAAGGGCAAAATTTATAAAACTATACTAATCTACACATCCCCTCCCACAAATCTCCTTTCCTTGCATTCCACTAATAGATCTTCCTCTCTCTAGCTTTGCTCCCCTCCAAATTACAGTTAGAATGATCTTCCCCTCAAAACATAAATCTGATCTGTTGTTGCTCTATTTGAAACCCTTCAAATGTTTCTGATTGCCCTTTAATCATCTGAATTTGACTCACAACTCACTCTTAGATCTGGTCACTGCCTGCATATCCTGCTCTATAGCTTCTGTTCTGTCTCCTAGTCTAGGCTGTAACTGGCCACGCTGAATTGCCGTCAAGTCCACAGATGTATTAATTTATCTCTCTTCTTGCCCAAACCCGCCTTCCTCAATCTTACTCCCTATTCCTTCAACTGAAATATCACTGCCAATGAACCCCTAGGCTAGGCTATGTTCCCACCATATTCCATACTTCCTTTTTCATAAACTCTCTTACACACATTCTTATTATTGCTATGGGCGGGAATGATTCTTCCTCACTCCTTGAGTTCCTTTCATATGGAAGGAGCATACTAGTGTGACACTTACTCATCCTCCATAAAAGGAGGAGTGACTGACCTGGTAGATTTTAAAAGGGCAACAGGTAGTCTGCCTCTTCTGTCCTTTTTTTCTTTTTTCCTGGGAGCTAGCTCACCTACAGGGAGCATGTGCTCAACCTCTAGGTGCTATATGTCTCACTGGGGTCAGATATTCTCCCTGCAGGGGAGCCTGCAGTTGTCCACTAATCCCAAAAAATATTAGAAAGCTTATTTGTTCCTTGATACAAGAAACATGCTCCGGTATCAGCTATAGCAGTCTAAAGGTGATATTTTGTGTTACCTGGCTGTCATACTTCTTTTTTTTTTTTATTTCTCAGTATGTTCAGAAATCAGGTAGGAACATGGAGTGGTTTTTATTGGAACCTTAAACCCCTTAAATTATAATTAATTATGTACTGTCTTTGGTGATAGTCTGTAGGCTCTAAAAGGCAGATACACATATGTCATGTGGCTTACTGATGTAGTCCTTGTAACCCAGCAAGCACCTGGCCAATAGTAGGAGCTTCATAAATATTGTTTATTGAATTAATAAATGAATAATTAGATCCCATATGTCTATACTTTCATCTTATCCACTGTTTGTCATTGCAATTATGACCAATTAAACTGTAGCTACTTAATGTGTTCCTTTTTTCCAAATTCAATCCAGTGTCTTCTACCTTAACACATTTTAGACTCTTGACATCAATCTGATATACTTTGAAAGTTTCCAATAGTCTGGGCACAGTGACTCATACCCGTAATCCCAAAACTTTGAAAGGCCAAAGTGGGCAGATCACTTTGAGTACAGGAGTTAGAGACCAGCTTAGACAACATGGTGAAACTGCATCTCTACTCAAAAATACAAAAATTAGCCAAATGAAGTGGCTGGCGCCTATAGTCCTAGCTACTCAGGAGGCTGAGGTGGGATAATCGCTTGAATCTAGGAGGCAGAGGTTGCAGTGAGCCAAGATTATGGCACTGCACTCCAGCCTGGGTGACAGAGCAAGACTGTCTTAAAAAAAAAAAGAAAAACTTTCCTATTAATGGCATTATAATTTGTTTTAAATGAATATTAGATTTCTAATTCTAGAATGATCTTCCCCTCAAAACATAAATCCAATTCTGTCATTGCTCTATTTGAAATCCTTCAAATGCTTAATCCCAGAAATATGTTAGATCTAATATTTCTAAAATTAGGTTTTCTAGATGTATAATCTTAAATTAGAAAGTGATGACCTAGGACACTAAGAATTCACTAACCTGCAGATAGTTTTCTTCCATTATGTTATTGGAGAAAAATCACACATTTAGAAAACTGTTTAAAGAACAATTCCATAAAACATTTCAGCCTTAAACTTCACATATTCTAAATTTATCTTACTCAGTGACATATAAAAAACTATAGATATGTTATGGATAAGTATATTTCAAGATAGCTGGAGAGAAGGCAAGGTAGCATTTTGGAAAATGGAAGGGTTAATTTTCCATTTTGGAAAATTCATATTGGGTTAATGAATTCCATTATGAGTATAATTGGGAGAGACAGATTATTATATTTTGAGGGTTTATAGTACTCTCATTTTTAATTTTCAATTTTTATTGAGCATAATAGAAAACAATAAGTATGATTGCTAATAAATTTTATAAGGTTACTATTTTATGTTTAAATGTGATATTTTAAAAGGACTAATGTATTTCTGAATATGACTTCCTATTTAAAAATCAAGGCACAAGTTTTCCCTTCGATAAAATGAAACTGTAACTTTATAATGAACTCCAACAGGAAAATATAAATCATATAATAGAAAAACCTGTCAGTGAATTTTTTGTCCTCCAAACTATCTTTTAAGTGAAAGATGTCTGCATAAACTAATTTGTGGCAACTTAATTTTTATTCATTCAATTATATTTAAGATTCCATGTATATGCATGAACACATAATTAAACTTTCTTGTAAGATTTGTCTCTAGACTTGAAAGAAAGTATATATATATATATTCCCAAAATTTGAGAATTATGATGCTACTGCATAAAACATAATGAAGGATTATATGTCAATAGCTTCCTTTTGTATTTATGACAAAAAGAAAAACATTCCAAAAAGAATTATAAATGAAAACCTCAGTTGTACTGGACAGGAACAAAATGTGCAATAAGCAGAAGTCTTTTGGGATGTATTTTTAAACAGGAGGTTTTGAAAACTCCAAATTTAGCTTCATAAAAAGAGGTAGTGCAAGTGTGAAGCATGTGGTCATTTTGGCATACTCAGTGTATAACTTCTCTCTTTACCTATATAAGGATATAATAAAGCTTTAGAAATGTGCAAAGCAGAAATCTTCCAGTTCTGTTTATTCACTTTCAGTCAGGTAGTAAAATATCCTAATGTTCTATGAAGAAATCTTCAAAATGCACTACTGGAAAAGCCTGCTAAAGAGAGAGAAAGCAACAAGTTCTTTATTTAGCTACTGAGCAGTTTAAAGGAGAGGATCAGTGAGGGTTTTTTTAATCCAACTATGTCTGTAAGTATCAGTCAATTTTACTAAATTTCACTGTATTTTTCTACTTCCTCTGCAGCTTTTTTGGGGAGGACAAAGGGAAGCTTCAATGTTCTTCATCCTCTTATTTACCTCTTCTTTATTATCCTTTCTCCTTCTTCTGGCCTTCTTTCATTACTGTAATTACTTTACATTCTTGTATTTCTTTTAGAAAGTCAATTTCTTATATACGTTCCATTTAACTTCTAATTCTACAGTCCTTGGTCATGCTTTGTAGAGAAAGGCCTCCTTTCTCTTAGTGATCGGAGATAGGAAGCAGTAATGGAGGGAACAGTACAGATGTGAATGTGTGTGATGTTTCTGTGCCTCCCAATCTCAAGAGAATACTGAACACTTCCCAGAACCTACTGTGGCCAAAGCACCCATGGTGGGGGCGGGGGTGGTGGTGGGGGGATTGGGGGTTGGGCAGGGAACAAACCTGTTTGCAGAGGTTAATTTGTGCTAAGAATTTAAATGTGACTTTCTGCCTATTTCCATGGCGCTATGTGACTTTCAGTTCAATTTTGAAAAATTTTGGTACCCTAAGGACCACTATGGTTTTAAACTCAATTTTAAATTGATATCCAGAATTTGAATCAGCCAAGAACTATGAATCATATCTAAAGGAAACTGGATTTTCAGTCACCAACAGCTGATTAAGAAGAGTCTTGGCCATCAAGACACTAAAATCATTCCTCACTCTCTAATACTGCATGTCTGAAAAGAGGACACGAACTAGCATAATATTAATAAAAATGGACACTGACTTTGTAAACATTAATGAGTCAACATGTGCTCACTGTCCAAATGGCATACAGTCATACATTTGAATGATAATGAGCATAATCAAAATTTAACCCAGGTTAAAGTGCAATAAAATATATATTAAAAAAAAATTTAACCCACAAATAAACCTACAGTAGTATGTCCACAATCTAAATGAAGTTAACTGTACAGCCTTACTAAAAATGTTAATGAAAAGACATAACATTTTCCTGAATAGAAAGGTCAACATTGTAATGACAATAATTGTGCAATTACAATTAGTGCAATTACAGACTATTTTGAAAGGAGAATTTGCACACTGAATTTTACATGTTGATTCTGGAAGAAAAGATATGTGTGAATAGTCAAGGGAAGTTTTAAAGAGAAAAATAAAGAGGGAGACTTTCCCTTAGATATAAAAATTACTCTAAAACCAGAATAATTTAAAGAATGTTTTACTGACAAAGAAATATTATAATAAATGTGTAGACACGTGCATATATAAACTAGTATAAGATGAAAATGAAATTAAACAGGTGAACTCCACAGGAATTAAATATTTAACAATTAAAAAAGAAAACAAAATGAGTGGCAACAAGACAGAAGATTATATTGTTTTATTAATAATCTTGGGCCTAGGGAGATATTTGACTGCCTGTACTTGTGTTATGGCGCTATCATTTAAAACTGTGTAGCCTTGGATAAGTGATTTACCTATAGTCTATAGAAGGAAGCTGAAGTGTCTTATTCATTGGGTTGCTGTGAGGCTTCAATAAAAACATACACACAAAGTACCCCAGCATCCAAAAAAAAAAGCCAGAAACCATAAGCAAAAAAGAATGACTTGTAAATATGTCAACTTTTAGGTATTTTGTGAAACAAATGTTACAAGAGGTAAAAGAAAGAAAATGTCTGTAAATATTTACAACATACAATCAAAGGCTATATTAAAAACTCTTTAAATTACTAAAAAAAACAAACACTCTTAAGAAAAATAAGATACATGTCATGAACAATCTGCTCCCAAGAGAAATATAAAGGCCCACAAACATATGATATTCTTCTCAACTTCACTAATAATCAAATAAATACATTTCTTTTTTCTCACCTGACTGGCAAAAACTGTTATTCATACTATTGTAAGAAGAGTGAGTAAAAAAGGACTTTCTCATGCAAGAATGAGGAGAGAATAAATCTGTCAAACCTTTTAGAGAGCAGTTTATGAATGTATATGGAAATTAAAATATGTATTAACTTTCCCTTAACAGTTCTATTTGTAAGAACTTAGCCTAAGGAAATAGAGAAGTATACAAAAACTTACAAAAGAGGTATTTCTTTATACTATTATTAAAATAGCAAAACAAACCAATAATCTAAGAACTGTCATTACAGTTCTTAGAAGGGGAAACAGATCACCAAAAGTTTTCAATAAGAAAAAAGCAAAATAAAGAATACTACATGTAGTATAATCAATACCATTTAAAATGTTTCAAATATGTAGACAGCAATAGAGGTTTACATTTGCAAAGAAAAAGTTCTGGAAAAACATGTATCAAACTGTAATCAGTGGTCATGTGGATGGGGTAAGAATGTTATGGAAACATTCACTTTTTAATGTATACTGTTCAGTACTTTTAAGCATTTAACAATTCCTTTTGTAATAAGAAAAAATAGGGACATTTCTATTTTGGAAAAATAAAATATTAAGAAACTCATAATAATTGCTTTCCTAGTTTCAGATTCTCACATAATGCTAATAGCTACCTGCCTTTTTGAAAATAGGTTGCTTAGGTTTAATAAGGTCCTTGTCAAGAATTAATAGATACTTAAGTGTTAACTTCCTTTTTAAAAGAACTACAATTAGAAGAGCCACTTATAAACGAATAAAGAAAAGCATGTTTCTCAGTTCAGGGTTTAACTTGCAAGTAACATTTCCATTAGTGTTTGAAACCAAGAATTATAAACTAGATTAGGCAGCACATAATTTAAATTTAAAAATGTGCTTTATAATGTAGAAACTCAGAAGTTTCCCATACATCTAAAACTTGCACCTTTCATCATACTTTTAAAAAGGAGAAAGTTACCTTTGACCCACTACTAGCAAACTAATTCATTTCTTTCAGGAACAAGAATGACATGGAAAATTCATGATCACTATAGTAGAAACAAAACAAGATGCTCTTTTTTTTTCATCAATGAAGGGTATCAGAATCGTTTTGAGATCAGATGTTCTGCATTTTCTAAGGTTTTTAACATTTTTTACTAAAGCAAGCTGTAACTACATCTTTAAATATGGAAGGCCACCACCTAATTTCGTGAAGAATTTCACTTCCTCAGGAAGCAAAGGAACAGCCCTGTGACTAGATATTATATCCCTCAGAAAAGATCAACTTGGATTCCTCCAAGGGAGACTAACTTCCCTATCTCTAAGGCATAGAAAAAATTAACATTACTGTTCTTAGTTTAGTCCTATTTCTCCTGCCAAAAGTTGTGCGTTCCCCAGATTCTCTCAGGAAGCATCATGTTACAAAGCAGAGCATTCTGCACCAACACTTACCAGACATCTAATTTTCTTAAAGCTCAGTGTACACATCTGTAAAATAGGAGTAACATCAACTGCTTTATAAGGATACTGTAAAGACTAAATGGGATGCTGAGACTTATATGCATAATACAGCGTAGGGGTTTCATAAATGCTACTCCCTTTCTAGCATGTCTGTAGCCCGGATAATTCGTAGGGAACACACCAAGAAAGCAAAATTGGGCCAGGCGTGGTGGCTCATACCTGTAATCCCAGCACTTTGGGAGACCAAGGTGAGAGAATCATCTGAGGTCAGGAGTTCAAGACCAGCCTGGCCAACCTGGTGAAAACCCGTCCATCTCTACTAAAAATACAAAATTAGCCAGATGTGGTGGCATATGCCTCTAATCCCAGCTACATGGGAGGTTGAAGCAGAAGAATTGCTTGAACCCAGGAGGCAGAGGTTACAGTGAACTGAGGTCGCACCATTGCACTCCAGCCTGGGCAAAAAGAGCGAAACTCCATCTCAAAAAAAAAAAAAAAAGGAATACAATTGCAAAATATTACAGAAATTGTCACTGTAGAATTATAATTATATGATATTCAAAGTATGTGGTTTTTATTTAACGTGTTAAAATAAAAGATAAAAGTGAGGTCAACCAATGGAAAGAAACAGCCATGTTACATTTTAATTTCTTTTTTTAAAACAGTATATTCATAAGAGAACAAGATAACACTACTAAAAGCTTCTTGAGTAGGAAAAAAGTGAGAAATTATGCTTCCAGTGTTTGGAATCTGATTGCTTTCTTCCTGGGTTACTGAGCTCACTTTCAGAGTGCATCCCATATCCGAAGTACGACAGAGGCACTGCATCACTTCTACATAAAAGTTCCTCAAATCTTTCATGTGATGGTCTACAGTTTGCTTCATCTTTTTTGCCTGACAATTAAGGGTCTCAGTAATCTGATCAGACCTTTCCTATCCATACTGCATCCTGAACACAGATTCTCCAGGTTAGGTCAATGTACTCACAGCAAAACACTATGTGGTTATCTGTCTCTGTATAAGTGTTCATATTATTCCCGGGTTTAGGACACTCCTTCTCCCTTATTCTTGCTCAAACTAACCCATTCTTCAACTTCAGTTCAAACCTATGCATCATCAGCCTCCCACCGTGAAATCATGAATATCTATGTATCTATACACTTAGAGCTGGTTCCACAGAATTCATCACGTCTATGGGGTTCATTTTTGTATTCATACTATTAGGCTATGGCTTGCTTTGTTTGGCATGGTCTTCAGTTCTGAATAGTCATGGCTAATATTATGCTATTTTTAATATTCCAGCAAACTTTTATAGCAATGTAATAATTATGAAATTATTCACTGGTACAAAAAGTAAATATTTGTTCCCCTCCCTCACATCACATATACTCTTGGTCAGAATTATAGCATAAATTTAATGTTCACCTATAAATCACTGAATTTTTCATTTTGTTTTGGTCTTGCGAAGATCTCTCTTTCCAACTACTTACATTAAGAATAGTACACATTTCCATAGCTATTCCTGTTGCTTTATACATGTATCATGCACTTGTGTGAGCCAGGCACTATGTGTATGTTATAAAACTTAGTTTTGAAAATAATCTGGTAAATCTGACAAAATGTACTCCTTTTATACAGGTGAGAAAACAGGCTGAAAGGACCAAAGCCACAAAGCACGTAACAGAGTTGACTATAAAATAAGGGACTTATTCCAAGGTCTCCCTGCCACACTCTGCTCAATGAGGATACACAATGTGTATCCTCATATTCTACCCACTCTCACTATTGAACCCACTTAACGACTTTCAAATTTAAAACCAATTATTATGAAAACATCAAACACCAAAATAAATTTTTTTGGAAATCCAGAAAACTGTTCAGCAAATTAATTTTTTTTCTTTTTTGTACAACACACAGAACATCAGTTATATGAAAGTCCTGGGCAGGAAAACTTTTCAAGTAATAACAGTCATTTTCATTCTATGACATGGAAACACTGACAGTGTTTTTATTATTTTTTTCAACTAGAAAACTCTCAATTATGATTTCATTCCTTGACAAATGCTCCTCAACACTCACCAAATTTTGGCAGATGGCTTACAACCAAAGTAAAAAAAAAAAAAAAAAAAAAAGCATCTTCTCACTTTTTAACTCATTATTCTAGCAAATGTTCAATCAATAAAATATAAATTAGAGAAACTTAGTTTAGTAACCATCTAACTAATTGGTATTTTGAAAGTGCTTAAGTTATTCAATTATTTTTCAACATTTCCAGGTTCATTACTGAACCACTCCCATTGTATAGCCTTAATGAAAACATCCAGTGAAATATATTTTTAAAGAAAGCAAAATATAAATATTTTAAAGAGAACTAATTACAACTTTAAAAGTAATTAGGATAAAGATACCTTTAAAAATCAAGACAAAAAATACTACATAGATTCAAGAATGAGACCTTCAAAATAGCTCCCCTACCTTATTAGTAACAAAAAAAAATTAAAACTACTATGGGATACTATATTTCTTATCAGGCTCCTTGTATTTTAAAAATATTGTACCTAGTATTGAAAAGCACGTAAGTTAGGCATCATTTTGTTATGGCAAAAGTAATATAAATTTGGTACAAATTTCTGCAGTATATTTTGACAATATGTGTAAAAACCCTTAATATGTTTATATGTCTTGACCCAGGAATAACATTCTAGGATAGGAATCTATTTTAGGTAAATGGCAGCGGATGTGCTTAAGGATTTTCACAGAAGAAAATATTATAATTTATAATAGTCAAATACTCAAAACAACCTAATTATAAAATAACATTAAGAGACTGGTAAAATAAATTGGCATGCCCTCACAATGAATACTAAGCAAACATATAAAAATCTCATTTTAGAACACTATTTCATAATATAAGAAATGTTTATGGTCTGCTGCTATGGAAGGGAAAAGAAAAACCTAGAAGATCCACAGTGGTGTGGACCTAAGAATAACTTCTATGTCCTGCTGTGTGTGTGGTGGATAGCTTTCAAGATGACCCAATGATACCTTCTTGGCATTCACTCCCTTGTGTCATTATGCCCCACACTGTATCAAGGTTGATTAGTAGGGTCAGTGGAATACAGCAAAAGGAACAGTATGTCTGTCTGTCTGTCGTCTGTCTATCTAATCTATCTATCTATTTATTTGAGACAGAGTCTTGCCTATCTCCCAAGGTGGAGTGCAGTGGTATGATCTCGGCTCACTACAAACTCTGCCTCCCAGATTCAAGTGATTCTTGTGCCTCAGCCTTCTGAGTTACCGGGATTACATGCATGCACCACCACCCCTGGCTACTTTTTGTACTTTTAGTAGAGACAATGTTTTACCATGTTGGCCAGGCTGGTCCTGAACTCCTGGCTTCAAGTGATCTGCCCACCTCAACCTTCCAAACTGCTAGAATTATAGGCATGAGCCACCGCATCCAACCAGTATGTAATTTCTGAGAGTAGTTCATAAAAGACATTGTAGCTTCTACTTTACTCTCTCTTGCATCACTCACTCTGAAGCAAGAAGAGGCCCAAATGGCAAAAAACCTACACCTTCTGCCAACAGCCAGTGAGGAACTGAGGCCTCCAATCAATAGCCATGTGAGTGAACCATTTTTGAAATGGGTCCTCCAGCTCCAGTCAAGTCTTCAGATAACAGGAGCTCCAGCCCACAGCTTAACAGCTACTTTAGGAGAGACACACCAAAAATGGCCCAGTAAAACCTCTCCCAGATGCCTGACTCTCAGAAACTGTGTGGGAAAATTAATGTTTGTCATTTTAAGTTGTTAAATTTTAGGGTAATTGTTACACAGCTAAGCATGTTTCTCCATATTTTCCAAATATTTATAGATAACATGTACTGCTCTTAAAATTAGAGAACAAACTACCATTTTAAAACACTAGGCATTGTCAATGCAATCCTAATACAGATTTTTTTAAGATTAATTCCAGTGTTTCAATTCGTCAAGCTAAATGTTTCCAAAGGATTCTCACACTGATAGCACACATGCTAGTCCAGCATACATATGCTAGTTAGTTCAACTCCAAATTGAATGTTACAGTAAATTAGCAACTTTAAAACTACCCAAAAAGGTCTTTGAAAATAAAGAATAAGAGAAAGCTAAATATTAAATGCAAATAGCTGTTTAAAAAGTGAACAAATTATATCTAAGGAAAGCAAGAGAAAAAAATAATGATTAAAAAAATTATTAATTTCAAAAATACTATTACATTCTGGTAAATAAAGCCAAAGGTATTTGGAGAAGGAACGAATAAGAGGAAAACAAAAGGCAAATCTCAATATTCAAGAAAATGATAAAATAACAAAAGATGGATGAAAAACACAGAAAAAGAGTAAAAGAATTATAAATAATATTATGTATAGTTGGTTGTTAAAGAATAAATTTTAATAGTTCAATGAAATTAAAAGATCATCCCAGCTGAGTAGAATATATAAACCCTAAAGAGGTCAACAGTTTTAGAAGAAATTTAAGTAAACAGCTATTGTCAAATAAACCTTAATGATATTTTGTGTAGATTCTTTTAAACGTTGAAAGAATGGAAAAATATGGATTTTTTTTTAAAAACCTGTTTTAGAATGCTACATTCTGCTAGCTGATATGGTAAGTCAATATGGTTTTTAAAAAGTCCCTTCCTCAAGATAGTTTACTGTCCTCCTTTGTAAAACTGTCATAATAACTATAAAAATTACAATATTATAGATGGCAATGTGCAACTTGTATAATCACAAGTGATGGGCCTAGTAACTCTGACACTAAAACCTGAAAACCAGCTGACAAAACAGAAAACTATAATTCGGTATCAACAATCTTGCTAGATGAAATATATTTCAAACCCAACAGCATATTAAACAATAATAAACCATGTCCAACTGAGTTTACATCAGAAATCCCAGAATGGTTTAATACTAGGCAATCTACTAATGAAGTTACAACATCAACGGGTAAAAATCAATTAAAACAGAACCTATCTCTGCCTGCTAAATAACGTGCAGCCATCTCAATACATGTCCATAGGCCAGGAAACCAGGGTAGTTCTATAATATAATAAAGATTCCCTATCTTTCACTTAGAATAAGCACCTTATTAAATATTTAGCCAAGTGGTTTCCAACAAAGCCAGATATACAGACACCTATCACCAATATTAGGAAGAAATTGTGGCATTCTTAGCAACATAATAGAAAAAGTGCTAACATTTTTAAGTATTGGGATGGCAGATTATATGTACTTAATAATATTACTGATTATCTAATAAAAATAAGAGATTTCAGTGAAATCCATGAACTTTAATGAGATTTTGTTAAATTTTCAAATATGCCAATAAGAACAGCTGGTAAACTTTTTTTCTTTTTTTGAGATGGAGTCTCACTCTGTCACCCAGGCTGGAGTACAATGGCGCAATCTCAGCACATTGCAACCTCCACCTCCCATGTTCAAGAGATTCTCCTGCCTCAGGCCTCTGAGTAGCTGGGATTACAGGCGCATGCCACAGCGCCCAGCTAATTTTTGTATTTTCAGTAGAAACGGGGTTTAACATCTTGACCAGGCTGGACTCGAACTCCTGACCTTGTGATCCACCCGCCTCAGCCTCCCAAAAGTTGGAAAACTTTCTAGGAAAACTCCAAACATAACCAACTGACAAATCAATCAACCAATTAATCAATCTCTCTGTTCTCTCTCTCTCAATCTCTATCTCGAGGAGGTGCGTGTGCACACACACGCACGCACACACACATACATACATTTCATGCTCCATACACCTAAAAATAAAATTATCATATTTACTGAAAATAAGAAAGGGAGGGTGCTTTCTGAAGAGGTGCGAGACAAGAGAAGCCATAGAAAAGAAACGACACAACCCTAGAAAGCCATCATGCATATGAATATGATATACCAGATGAATTAACTTCTCTCTTTATGAGAAATGAGAAATGTTTCAGAAATTGTCTAAATATGTATTTATATGATTGACAAAAACAGCTTGGAATATGCCAATGGAGCCCAAGGGTATATAACAAACATTTTTAGCCGAATATTTATCTTTTCTTCAGGAGAACCAAGGCAAGAAAAACCCCCAATGGGATGAAGTAAATAAGTTTTTCTTTCATCTAGCCTATTTTCTTTGGAGTCACTAGCCTCCAAAAGCCCCACAGTTCTGGGACTACATTTTAAGTTACAAGAGAGCAGTGCCCCCTTTTGGTACCAGATGCCAAAAGTTCTTCAGATCCTCAACACTTCCACATAAAATCATTTAAACAAAGCAAACTATTGAGCTACCAATCCTTCCCACTGTAAAACAGAAATAATTTACCCACATTAGCATAATCATGGATACATTTGGCAAAGATCACTTTTCATGTATCATTTTCTTTTCTTGACAGTGACTATAGGACCTTACATACTAATAGAAAACTGATGTATATTAATTGACTGCATAGGCCTTGTTGGCTCATTCCAACACAAATCTCTCTACATAAAGGACAGACTTTCTCTAGGATAAAATGTCTACAATATCTCCTATCTAATGACATCAAAATGCTGTTTTCAACTTGCCCACCCAGGTATCAGATTTCATACTCAAATCTGGATCTTGCATACAACTGTGTGAAATGTGAAAAATGGAGTTAAGTAACTGTTTGGACATAATATTGTCTAATAGAACAGGGTAGAAGAGAATAATCCATTTATTAGAAAGGAATATTCTCTACCAGTTTCTCCCTTTCATTTCCAAGAAACAACAAATAACATCAATTCTTTGCTAACAAATAGCGTAAGCCTATTATTATACCACAGTAATTAAGTATAAACTGTTTTATTATTTTACAGTCTTTTTCAAGAAGTACCATTTTATAGCTGCAAATGAAAATAATAACAACATGACTCACATCTATATAATCCAAGCACTTTGGGAGGCCGAGGAGGGTGGATAACTAGAGGTCAGTTGTTCAAGACCAGCCTGGCCAACATGGTGAAACCCCATCTCTACTAAAAATACAAAAATTAGCTGGACATGGTGGTGCATGTCTGTAATCCCAGCTACTTGGGAGGCTGAAGGAGAAGAATCTCTTGAACCTGGAAGGCGGAGGTTCCAAGCAATGAACCAAGACTGAGCCACTGCACTCCTGCCTGGGTAACAGAGCAAGACTCCAAAAAAGAAAAAAGAAAAAAAAAAAAAAGGAAAATAATACCAACAGTATGCTCTTCCAAAATAATCAAAAATTATAAGATCTTTTCCATGCTCCATCAGTTTCCTTTGAGTGGATAGAATCATAATAAAGAGGTCTTTTTATAAACAATGCTTGGCTTCATTTCCTGCTGTCTATGATAGAATTTGCAGGTATACCCTGCTGCAAGCACGAATGAATTTCTTTATCTTATATTGTTAAATAAAGACATAAAGGTATTAATTTGCTTTTGTAAATGTTATACACATTATATATACTTATACATAATGGATATTATATATTATATATGTTTCCTATGCTGTTTCATATCACACAAGTGCTTATCAATTTCTTCAATTACTACTCACCAGTGTAATTCTTTTTTTTTTTCTTTTCTTTTCTTAGCTTTTTTTTTTTTTTTTTTTGACAGTTTCACTCTTGTTGTCCAGGCTGGAGCACAATGGTGTGATCTCAGCTCATTACAGCCTCCGCCTCCCAGGTTCAAGCGATTCTCCTGCCTCAGCCTCCCAAGTAGCTGCTGGGATTACAGGCATGTGCCACTACACCTGACTAATTTTGTACTTTTAGTAGATACAGGGTTTCACTGTGTTGGTCAGGCTGGTCTCAAACTCCCAACCTCAGGTGATCCGCACGCCTCAGCCTCCCAAAGTGCTGGGATTATAGGCGTGAGCCACCATGCCCGGCATCTATCAGTGTAATTCTTAACTATATACTTGGAAAAGCACCAAAGTGAGATTTTCCTCAGCAGTATGAATACCCTTTTTTTTTTTTTTTTTTTTTGAGACAGATTTTCACTCTTGTTACCCAGGCTGGAGCGCAATGGCGCAATCTCGGCTCACCGCAACCTCCACCTCCTGGGTTCAGGCAATTCTCCTGCCTCAGCCTCCCGAGTAGCTGGGACTACAGGCACGCGCCACCACGCCCAGCTAATTTTTGTATTTTTAGTAGAGACGGGGTTTCACCATGTTGACCAGGGTGATCTCGATCTCTTGACCTC